TGGGCCGTCATGGGGCCATCTTGGAGGCCTCTTGGGTGCTGTTGGGGCGATGTTGGGGACCTCTTGGGCCGTCTTGGGCCGTCGGAGAGCTGAAAAGAAGAACATGCCAAAATCCTTGAAAAACCTAAGGAAAATCAATGATTTTAACCTATTCGGGCCTTCCTGGAGGGCGTCTTGGAGGGCTCTTGGGCCGTCTTGGAGGCCTTTTGCGGGCCTTTTGGGCCGTCTTAGACCATCTTGAGGCCATCTTGGGCCGTCTTGGGTGCATCTTGGAGCCATCTTACCCGTCTTGGAGGCCATCTTGGCCGTCTTGGAAGCATCTTGGAGGCCATCTTGGGCCATCTTGGCCGTCTTGGAGGCCATCTTGGGCCAAGTTGGGGCAACAAAGGCATTGACAGATGGATTTTCGGAAACTTGCGGGTGGCCGGCGGGACGGGCCGAAGCCCACTGGGGAGTCCGCCGCCCCTTGTGGTCTTGCCACAGGGGTGCACGGCGTGCTGGATGTTTCAGGTTTTGGTTTTGGTTTTTTTTCTAAAAGAACTCCCCCCAGTGGGCTTCGGCCCGTCCCGCCGGCCACCCGCAAGTTTCCGAAAATCCATGTGTCAATGCCTTTGTTGCCCCAACTTGGCCCAAGATGGCCTCCAAGACGGCCAAGATGGCCCAAGATGGCCTCCAAGATGCTTCCAAGACGGCCAAGATGGCCTCCAAGACGGGTAAGATGGCTCCAAGATGCACCCAAGACGGCCCAAGATGGCCTCAAGATGGTCTAAGACGGCCCAAAAGGCCCGCAAAAGGCCTCCAAGACGGCCCAAGAGCCCTCCAAGACGCCCTCCAGGAAGGCCCGAATAGGTTAAAATCATTGATTTTCCTTAGGTTTTTCAAGGATTTTGGCATGTTCTTCTTTTCAGCTCTCCGACGGCCCAAGACGGCCCAAGAGGTCCCCAACATCGCCCCAACAGCACCCAAGAGGCCTCCAAGATGGCCCCATGACGGCCCAAGAGGCCCCCAAGAAGGCCCCAAGAGGGCCTCAAGACGGCCCAAGAGGCCTCCAAGACGAGATCCAAGACGGGTAAGATGGCTCCAAGACGGCCCCTCCAAGACTCCAAGATGCACCCAAGACGGTCCAAGATGGCCTCAAGATGGTCTAAGACGGCCCAAAAGGCCGGCAAAAGGCCTCCAAGACGGCCCAAGAGCCCTCCAAGACGTCCTCCAGGAAGGCCCGAAATTGTCAAAATGGCCTCCAGACGGCCAAGATGACCTTCAAGATGCCCACGTGTTCCCCGAAGGCTTTCCAAACCGATTCGGGGAACACATGGTCCGATAGCTTGGCAGGTCTGGCCTCAACGTTCGGCCACGTAGGCGCTTCCAAGAAGGCAGGGGGCGGCGGTGATTCGCCGTAGGCGTCTTTGATTCTTTTAGAAAAATAACCAAAACCAAAACCTGAAACATCCAGCACGCCGTGCACCCCTGTGGCAAGACCACAGGGGGCGGCGGATCTAGTGGCTTTCGGCCCATCCAGCCACCGTGCCTGGGTTGTGGGTTATACATCCCAAGGACGAAAGTTTTTTCTTCTTGGGCCCGGAACGGCGGTGTGAAGTCTTGAGCAGACCCGTATGAGATAACCACCGTCGGATCCAATGAAGTTCGCGCGGATCCAAATGTGGTTTTGGCGTTTGTTTCGGTGGATCCGATTTCCGTCCGTACGGATCCGATTTCGGATTCGCTGGATCCGTGTCCGGTTTTTTTTTGCGGCGGATCCGATTTCTACCGAGTTAAACCAGGGGACCGGAAGAAATCGGATCCGCGGACCCCACAAACCGCCCGTGTTAAGATTCTATGGGGGAAGGGGGGGTCGGTAATCAACTTTCCACGATGGGTCCTGCGTCGTCTCGCGCACTCCCATGAATTCCCCGCGCGAGCGGGCCCAAATCAAAATGAATCCATACATCCCTCCCCCCCCGGTTGCTGCAAACAGCTCGTCTGGTCGCTGTCCGTTCGGCGGCGCCGACGTTGTCTCGCGAACTTGTCATGGCCATTTTCACCTCAAGAGGAACATCTTTCGTCCTGCGTAAGTGCGTTTCGGCCCTGCGTCCCCTCACCAAACAGACTGCCTGTGAGATGTGGCGTCGGCTGTGTGGTAACCAACAACGGACTGCCTTTGAGATGTGGTGTGTCGGCGAGGTGGTAACCGCGAAGTCCGAAGGCCAAAACGCCCAGTGCGTTTCGGCCCTGCGTTTCCTCATCCAACGGACTGCCTGTGAGATGTGGTGTGTCGGCTATGTTGTTACCTACAAAAGACTGCCTGTGAGATGTGGTGTGTCAGCTATATGGTAACCGACGGGTCCGAAGGCCAAAACGCCCCCCAGGGCGAAAGATTTGTCCTCTTGATGTGGTGTGTCGGCTCTGTAGTTACCAACAACGGACTGCCTGTGAGATGTGGTGTGTCGGCTAAGTGGTAACCAGCGAGTCCGAAGGCCAAAACGCTCATCCCCAGGACGAGAGTTTTTCCTGTTGGGCCCGGAACGACGGGGTGACGTCTTGAGCAAACCCGTATGAGATAACCACCGTCGGATCCAATGAAGTTCGCGCGGGTCCAAATGTGGTTTTGGTGTTTGTTTCGGTGGATCCGATTTCCGTCCGTCCGGATTCGATTTCGGATTCGCTGGATCCGTGTCCGGTCTTTTTTTTGCGGCGGATCCGATTTCTACCTTGTTTTACATGTAAGTTATTCGATTAAACCAGGGGGCCGGAAGAAATCGGATCCGCGGACCCCACAAACCGCCCGTGTTAAGATTCTATAGGGGGAAGGGGGGGTCGGTAATCAACTTTCCACGATGGGTCCTGCGTCGTCTCGCGCACTCCCATGAACTCCCCGCGCGAGCGGGCCCACATACATCCCTCCCCCCCCGGTTGCTGCAAACAGGTCGTCCGGTCGCCGTCCGTTCGGCGGCGCCGACGTTGTCTCGCGAACTTGTCATGGCCATTTTCACGTCAAGAGGAACATCTTTCGTCCTGCGTACGTAGGCCTTTCGGATGTTCGTTGGGATATCGTGGGAGACCTCTCGGAGGTCTCTCGGAGGCAGTTCTGAGGCCTCCTGAGGGCCGTTCGGTGGCCTCTTGGGGCCTCTTTTTAGTCCATTTGGGAGCCTCGTGGGGCCTGTTGGGGGCCTCTTGGGCGCCTCCTGGGGTCTATTGGACGCCTCTTGGGGCCTCCTGGGAGCTTCTTGGGGCGGAATGCTCGAATTGTCGGTTCGTGTTTTCCCTTTTGGGGCGGTCTTGGGGCCCTTTTGGGCTGTTTTGGGCATCTCGTGGGCTGTTTTGGGTCCTCTCGGGCCGTCTTGGGGCGGTCTTGGGGGCCTCTGGGGCCATCTTGGAGCGTCGGAAGCCCGAAAACGTGAGAACGACAACAACATTGAAAAACCATAATAACCATTGGTGACTGTTGCATCTTGGGCCCTCTTGGAGCTCCTCTTGGAGCGCTCTTGGGGTTTCTGTGGGGCGTCTTGGACCGCCTTGGGGCCATCCTGGGCGTCTTAGAGCGCTCTTGGGCTGTCTTGGAGGCCTCGCGGACCCTCTTGGGAGCTTCTTGTGGTCGTCTTGGCCCGTTTTGGGGCCTTCGGGTGAATAAAAATCACGATCAGCGAGTGCGCATGTTCTGAGTCAAATTAGCGGAGCGGCGCTCTGCTAATAAGAGGGATCAGTGGACGCGCACGTGCTCTGAGGCCAATTCGCAGAGCGGCGCAGCCGTGGCAAAAAAAACACCATCTAGCAGACGGCCGATCGTTCCTTCAGTTCAGGGCGCCCTGTTTCTGGAGGCCTCCCAGATGAGGCCCACGATGCGTCGGCGATGGCGGGATGGAGAAGAGCGGGACCCAGATCGCGCCGATTCGATCGATGCATCGGCGATGCGTCGCGATCCTCCCTCCCCATATCCGCCACCGTGCCTCTCGGCACGAAGTGGAGTTAAACCCAGGCTTTCATGTGTTCTCTGTCCTGAATCTAGGATTCTAACGAGGGACCCCGACCATGCATTTCCAGACTGTTCGGGCTCCAATTTCCAGAGCGGTGCTCGGCTAATCTGCCTCAAAGCACGCGCACTCGCTGCTCATACCCTCATTCGGAGAGTGCTGCTCTGCGAATTGGCCTCAAATAATGTATGTGTGTGTGTGTGCGTTTGCGCCGCGCCGTTCACATCTGAAGACTTGCGCCTCATTCTCCACCGCTCCGGTCGAGTCTGCGTCAGCGTCTGCTAATGTTTGGCCGCGCCATTGCCGCTGCCTTTTTCATGTGTCGCTGGGTGGCTTCGGCCTTGGCGCACTGCGTGTCGGGGCTGGGAGATGCGGCGCCCTGGGCTGACCGATGAAGCCTCAGGGTTCGCAGCCCCGCCGAGGGCCGCCGCGGCGGCCGCGCGCGCGGCGGCGGCCCAGGCGGTGCAGGCGGAGGCCCTGGCCACGGCCGCGGAGGCGGCGGCCGCCGAATCCGCCGAAGCGGTTCGCGCAGAGATGCACGCCCTTCAGCGCAGCGGCTGGCCTGCAACGGGATGCCGCCGCGCGTCACCTCGGCTTGCCCGAGGGGTGGCGCCTGGCCGCCTTCTGCGGCCAGGTCGCGTGGCGCGTGCTGCGCCTTGCGGTGCCGCAGCTCTGCGAGCTCGCCGAGCTGCTGGCCGGCGACTAGGACTAGCCGCGCTGGGGCGCGGGGCCTGGCTGCGAGTTGCCGCAGCTGGCTGGGGCTGAGGCCCGCCGGGCCTGGCGCGGGCTGGCGCCCCCTCGCCCCCCCCCCTCCCTCCCTCCCTCCCCATCCGCGCTTGTGTCGTTTGTCTGTCGTCCGTCGTTGGTCGTCGTCGTGTCGTGTCGTCTCTATGTTCCCCACCTCTGGGCTCCTCTTGCGGTGGTAACAATAATGCACGTGTGTGTTGGTGTGCTCGCGTGTGTGTGTGTGTGTGTGTGTGTGTGTGTGCGTGGCGCGCTGTCGCGCGGGCGCGCGCGCGCGCCCGCTGCCAGAACCGACAAGTCGAGGTCAACGAGCCCTACGCGAAGCTGAGACTGCCGCCGGTGCCGCTCCAGCATGCTTTCCTCGGGAGCCTTGAGACGGGGGTCAATGCAGACGGGGGTCAGCCAGAGCGCCAGATCTTGCAGGATCCTGCGAAGACCCCTTCTGGCTGACCCGGGTTAGCGAGCCGCTCGTGGCCGCGAGGCGTCCGCGCATATTGGCTGACCCGGGTTTGCGAAGACCTGCGTTGCAGTTTTTTTGTTCCTGCACTGCAGTTTTTTGGTTTCCTGCTGACCCGGGTCTGGATGGACCCGGGTCAGAAGATCCCCGATTCCCTCCCCTGAGCTGTGGAGTCTTTCGCTGGATTTTGGACGCTGGGGCCCCCTCCAGCAGCTGCTGCGCCTCGTCGAGGGCTTGGCGTTCCTGTGGATCCTGGAATCGTCCCGAAGGGCCGTCCCATGGCCTGAGTTGCAGCCTGACTTCCGACCATAGTATGGCGTAGTGCAGGATGATGATGATGCAGAAATTACCGGGGGTCGTGTTCACGCAGCGGCGCCCAGGATGATGATGGGGAAAACGGCACCCCGACCAGGAAATTGCTTTTAATCGTTCTCCGCCGCCTTGCTCGGGCGCGCGCCAGGACGGTCGACAGGTCAGACGGAGCAGAGGCGAAGCAGAAGCCGATGATTCGGAAGTTATCATGTTAAGGTTTTACTCGTCGTTTCACATTACCCTGCGATCCGCGGGCGTCGCCAACATAACCAAAGCACGACTCCTGCTCTCGCCCCGAAGTCGCGCCCCAGGACCTATACGGATCGGCCGAGTCCGAGGGGTGTCGCAGAGAGGGCTCCGATCGGATTTTTTCTGCGCGTAGGCCTTCAGGGGAAGCCTCCGGAAGTCCGAGGGGTCTCCGAATACCTGAGAGGCCCCACTGAGGCAGAGGTCTTCGGAGGCTCGCGTTGCAGGCGGCTTCCAGGAGTTGGTCCCCGCAGGGCTTCCCGGAGCCCTCCAAGGGCCCGCGAAGAAGTGCCCAGGTCACCAGCCCAATGCGTGCAGCAACTTCGAACCTCCCCAGCGACGGGGCCGACGTCGCCGACGACGACGAGGCCGACGACGACGACGAGACCGACGACTGGAAGGAAGGTGACGATGCACATGCACCGCTCCTGGCTAGTTAGGCCCACCCTGAGCCCAGGATCGGTGCATACGCTCTCCTGGCTCAGACAGGGAGGCACACGCAACGATCCTGGACCTGGGACGGGCCTGGACAGGATGGGTGCAGACATCTGCTCCCGACCCCTTGCCCAGGAGTAGTTATTCGTGTTTTTTTTTCATAGTCCCGGAGTCCGATGGGGGCACCCGGAGGCCGAAAGGAAGGAGGAGCTAGCACCTGGATTGAGAAATCCGTCCGCAGGGCGGCAGCGGCGGCTGCTGCCTGCGTCGGCCCAGGGGCACATACCGTCGCCCTCTCTGAGGGAAGAAGCGCAATGGCCATGACCCAGGTGTCACGCGATCTCGTCGACGCCCATCCTAGTCATGGTCCATGCACGCCGTCGCCGGCTCGTCGAAGATCTGGCGCGATCCCCCCCCCGCAGCCAGCGGCGGTCCCTGGCCAGGGCATCGCCGCCGACCAGCGCGACGTCACGCAGTCGACGGTGAACCTGCCCACTTCGCCGACGCCGCTTCAGGCCAGGCGGCCCCACCCTGCAGCAAAAGTCCCAAAGGACAAATTATCCTACATCCAACAGAGCCAGCCCGATCTCTTCAGCCGCGCGGGCTCGTCGTCTGCGTCGCCGTCGCCCGCGTCGGCGTTCGTCGCCGTCCGCGTCGGCCGCGTCGGGGGAGGCCGCCGTCGTTCGCGCCGCCGTCGCTGTCGTCGCCTGCGACGAGCAGGAGGAGGAGGAGGAAAAGGAGGAGGAGGAGGAGGAGGAGGAGGAGGAAAAGGAGGAGGAGGAGGAGGAGGAGGAGGGGGAGGAGGAGGAGGAGGAGGAGGAGGAGGAGGAGGGGGGAGGAGGACAAGCTCTGTGCGCTCCCGCCTCGTCTGATATCCTATCCCTCCCATCCCTTCCCATTGCACTGCTTTTTCTCCATCAGCGGACGCATGTCATAGCCGACAGGCGACCCCAGCCAAAAGACCACATTGTGGTATGCGCAGTCGACAAAGAGTGAGCTGCGTACCGGTGGCGGGTGAGCAGGAGGATGAGCGTGAGGAAAAGGACGAGGACGAACAGAAGCAGCAGAAGTTGGAGTGGAAGGGACGGGAGGAAGAGGAAGATCGAGGAAGGCGGAGGAGGGGAGATGAGGGAGGCGACTCGGATCCCGAAAGTGGCCCGCGCTAGGGCGAAATCGCCATCGTGAACGGCGGGACCAAAGCGCGGAGGAGGAGGAGGAAGACCCAGGCCTCCTCGAGTCGTGAATACATCGCGACGGAGTGTTTTTGGCCATCGGTCTCCAGGGGCCCTTACTGGGCCCCGGGGCAGTCAACGAAAAATGGTTTTGGTAAAACCGGTCCTGGGGAACGAATCGAGGCCAGAGGGTCCTCATTGAGAAACAAACGACATCGGGAGTCTTGGGAGGACGGGTGGCGACCCCCTCTTCCTTCCCCTCCCCCCGCCCTCCTCTTCCACCCGTCCCTTGTCGCCCCACTCGCGGTTGTTATTATCCTCGTCCTCCTCTTTCTCCCTTCCCTCTGGCCCTGCGACAGCCCTGTAGGAGGAGGAGGAGGAGGAGGAATAGGAGGAGGAGGAGGAGGAGGAGGAGGAGGAGGAGGAGAATGGAAAAGGGGAAGGAGGAGGGAACAACGATGGGGGAAGGAGGGAGGATGAGGGATGTGATTTCTAGAGATTTCTGGAGGGCTTGATTTGGAAATATAAGATTTGACAGATGATTAACATGCGTGTATGCAACGCCGGCGCTCGGGCTCGAGCTGTGCAAGATGTGCTTCTCCTCCCCGCAGCAGTAGCAGCGGGGCGGCGGGAGCGATAGTGGTCACGGCATTTCGACAGAGTTTGAGCTGGGACGAACTTCCCCGACGAGACGATCGAGCGACGGTGAGCTCCAGCGATAACGAGGTTGGTAGCGGAGCTCGTGGTTGGCCCCACGACTCCAGAAGGTTGAGAGAGACAAACCATCTCATTGAGCACGGCCATGGCTGACTACAATAGCGTTGTGGACCCGAAGATACCGGTGCTGAAAGGAGATACGTTGAAGGATTTCACCCGCTACAAGCGAGCAGTTCAAGCGGCGGAGCTGAGCTGCGAGAGCAAAGAAGCGAAGCAGGCGCTCGGACCGAAACTGTGCCGCAGACTGCTGGGCGCGGACAACTCCATCAGTGTGCTGATCGAGCAGATTAACCCCAAGGACTACGCGACAGAGGATGGCGCCCAGACGCTGCTGATATTTCTCGAAGAGCAGCGCTTCGCCAAGAGCAGATTTAGGGAGTTGCCGGAGGCGTTCGACACATTCTTCGGCTTGACTCATGTCGAGAAGAAGGGCGAAGAGCCGATGGCAGCGTTTCTTTTGGTACGGCAATGGAGGTGGCGAGGCGCAATCTCGAGGACGTGGACCCATTTGCGAATATCAGCGCCAACGAGTTAGGAAGCAAGGGGGGGGAGAAGCGGACTTGACAAGGACGAACGCAATCTAGTGATTGCACGGGCGGGCGAGACCTTCAACTTCCAGAAGATTAGCACGACGCTGAAGAACCTCTCCCCGCGAGGCGGAGGTCGGCACCAGGATCGACGAGGATCGCGCACGAGCTGGCGATGGGCGACTGACAGCGACGGCGACCGCGACCCGGAGGACGAGGGCCAGAACGTCGAGCACGACGGGTACTGGGTCCAGGATGACGACGGTTACTGGTACGAGTGGGACGAAGAGTACGGTGTCTACGCGTTCGCGGAGGATGGTGATAACGGCTGGGGCAGCAGCGACCTGTTCTACATCAAGGACGACACCGACGTCTACCTCGCGGGCGAAGACGACGAGTGCCAGCAGGCCCTCGTCACGCTGCGCGAGAGCAGGTTCAGCGTGGACAAGATCAGGGCGGCTCGAGGCTCCTACCAGGGACGAATCGACGGAGTAGTGGACGAGAGCGCGGCGGCCGGCGGTAGGGCAGCGGGGAAAGGTGGCAGGGGCAACAGGGGCAAGGGCGGTGGCAAAGGTAACTCCAAGGACAAGAGGTGCGCCAACTGCGCCGCGGCAGGATGGACCACGCTGCGCCGGGCTGCCCGACGCCGCGACTTCCGAGGCCCGCAGGCAATGGCTGAAGGCTTCAAGGGCCGCGGCAAGACCTCCAAGGCTCAATCTCGCCCATGGCGGCTGGGGTTCTAGGCGACGACCATGCCGGTGTGCGTCGTGCCGGACATGCCCCGCCAGAAGGGCGCCCAGGGCCAGGAGCTCGCGACGGAGAAGTTCCAGGAGCGAGCCGAGTACGACATCGCGATGGTCGATGCGGAGAGCGACCTTATCCTACCGGAAGTGCCAGAAGTGGACGCGATGATCTCGAGTGCGATCATGCCAGCTACCCTGGTGGACAGCGGCGCCTCCGCGGCGGTGGCAGGGCGCGGGTGGCTGGAGAAGATCGCGGCGGAGCTCGAGAAGTACGGCCTGAGGCCCATCGTCGTCGAGGCGAGCCAGATGTTCATTGGGCTCGGCGGGGCGCGACGCGAAGCGAAGCAAAAGTGGACAATCCCGATCGGCATTGGAAAGAAGCATGTCCTGCAGGAGTACTTCGAAATCCCTGGTGACATGATCGGCCTGGCGAGGAAGAACCTGGAAGACGAACCTCTACCTGCGCGAGGACGGCCAGTGGGCCGACTTCCAGGAGCTCGGGGTGTACGACAAGGAGCTCGTGAAGCTTCCAGGCGGCCGCGCGGGCATCGACATCTTCGACTACGACTTGGAGCCGTATGAGGCGGAGCCCCCTTTCGAGAAGTTCCGCATCAACGTCGAGAACGTCGAGCCGGAGATTTTCCTGGTCGCGGAGACGCCGCGGGGGCCCAAGCCAGATTTCAAGGTCAAGGACGACGCCGATCGGCGGGCCCAGGAGGCCATGAAGAACGGCAACAAGGGGATTTGCAAGAAGGGCACGCTCAAGCGGATCGACAAGCTCATGAAGGAGTATGCGGTCATACTCGACGTGTTGCGTGACAACAACGAGACGTTTCTCTGGGGGGTTGTTCGCGAAGGAGGCGCGCTTTGCTCATGTAGCTTCGAAGGGTGGTCACGCGAATGCGACCCCCTCGGGCCTGTCAGCTGGCGTGAACTTTAACGACCCTCAGACGCGATCCGATTTCCTGTTTTTGATCAGGAACTTCAAGCCCTGGATGGTTTCGGTCGCATTCCCGTGCACCGCCCGCACGAAAATGCAAGAGTTACAGCGCGTTCAGGGCATGGCCGACCGGGTGGGCGACCTCATCCAGGAGCTTCGGCCGTTGATTGACTATTCGGCGGAGGTGTTCAAGCTTCAGGTCGAAGGCGGACGGATCGGCATCGGCGAGAATCCCCTCACCAGCCGGGCGTGGCGGGAAGTTCCGATCGTGGACCTGCTGAGGTTGCGCGGGAACAAGCCGCCGCTCTACGAGACGGTCACGCTGCACCAGTGCATGCACGGGCTCGTGGACAACCGCGGCGACCCGATTCGCAAGCCGACGTGCATGGTGGTGCCCAACGGTTCGCGCATTCCTGGGTGGCTAGAGCGCTGGTGCGACGGGGGCCACAAGCGCGCCGACATAGTCCGGCGGAGACCGGCACTGGCGCCATCGGGCGCCTAGCCGGGCGACGTGGGCAAGGCTCTGGCGGGCGCCGGCGCGCGCGAGCTGGCGCGACGTACCAGCCCGAAGGAGATGGACATCGGGGGCGGCGCGGCGAGGTCCCCGAGCAAGCAGAGCGGGGGCGCCGTCGCGAAGGCGTTCAAGCTGAGCAAAGACCTGATCGACGTGCGCGCACTGACGGGCGACGAGGAGGAGGTCCCGCCCCCTTGCGGGGCCGCGCGGCGCATCTGCGTGGTGTGCTCCAGCGGGGGTGGCAGACTACAGCGACGCCTACGCGGGCGACTCGGGCTTCGCGACGATCATGCTGGCCAAGCGGTTCCTCACTGACACGGTGGGCGCAGTCTACGCGCAGGAGTCGAAGGTGCATGTCTACGGGGGCCAGCCCAACACTTTCGCTCCAGACGATCGCGAAGCTTACGCGGCACATCGAGACCTACAAAACGAGGGCGAGAGCTTCGGGGATACGCCTTCGGACATCACCACGGCTCAGTGGGGCGCTCTCATAAGAAGCCCCACCTCAACCTGAGCCACCCCTGTGCTCACGCACTGAAGCGGCGAAAGAAGTCCTGCGGAGCGTCACGGCAAGTGCTGGATGCGGAAGACAAGCGGGGCTGCGTCGCGTGCAATGAGCTCGGCAGGCCCACTGCGGTGAGAAGCTCGAACCTGAAGCTCTTGGCGGAATTCAACGAGAACGTGTGCTTGGACGAGGCCGAGGTGATACTTGCAGACGGGACCCGGCTGGTGGTCCTGGTGGTCTTGGACGACGCGTCGCGCTTCGGGCAATCATTCGCGCCGCCGCAATTAGGTCCACCACCGGCGAGGAGAGGCTGTGATGTTTTTTTCTTCGCAAGGCTGGCCATCGCGGGCCGGGCCGCAGCGACGACGCGCTCAGGAGGGCCATGGTTGGTCGAATT